TAGAGTTAATTTTTAGAGTCACAAAGTGACTGTGGCTATCAAAAAGAAACTACAGAGCTATTTATATGCAGAGAGCATTTCAGTTCATACAATGAAGATAAAAATGAAATTTCAGCACCACATGAATCTTTGCCGCGTCTCTGGTAAACTGTTCAAGTATAATTCACGTATTTGGTAGACCACAGTATTTACTATTTTCCTTCACAGGTTTTCCTATTCACTTCCCTTCTGTCCATTTCAAATATTCAGGCTGTTCATTTTCAAAATTTCTAACCGAACTAAGAGACATACTATGAAAACAAAATAATGTGTCTAATATTTTCTCCACTAGTTAATTAAAATTTTTAAGATTTGACTGCTTCAAAAGCTAGTATAAAGTCCTATCATTTAAGGAATATGAAAGGAAATATCAATTGACAAAATTGACATACTAATATTTCCTATACAGTTTGCTCCTGCAAACAGAACTTGAGAAACAAAAAGAAATGTGAAAATATGATTCATATTGCCTTGTTATTTCAACTGTGTTTTCTTAACTGGTTATCTCTAAAATAAAAACTTAAACTGTAGGATTTTGGACCAGGAGTTGAATTCATTTCTACTGCTCCTAATTTTATATAGACTCGGACAGCTATGTGTAGTCTCAAACCATAAATAACATAAGATTCTATTATTTAGGAAGACTTTACAGTGTATAAAAAATTATCAAAAGAAGAAAAAAATTATATATCTATCTAAAACCAGTATTAAGTCTGGATGAATTTTGTTGTGGTTTTCTTCCACTGAACATATCACAAAAAGGAAGATTATTGCAATGTTTTGTTTGTCATACTTCAAAAGCCATAAGAGATAGCTTCTAAATTTAATATATCATAGAGTAATGCTATCCAAGTGATTGACCATGCAAGCAGTATATTTTCAAGCTGACAGTTTTATGTGGCTAGAATCTATACTTATTTTTTTTCCTCTCACACATGCAAAAACTCATTCTAGGCTCACTGTTTTGATCTATCTTATCACCCTCTCAGAGTTTAGCTCAGTATAAATCCCCTCTGAGCTTACTTCATCATTGCTTTCTGTTTATGCTATCTAGTATGCAGCCTCTATTTTAATGATTGACTTTCTCTTGGTTTTATTAGATTTTCAAAATAATTTATTTTTAAGCGTACATTCACTGATATAAATTATCTTGTCAAAGTGGTTTTTATTAGACATTTATGGCTTTCTTTTAATAGTTCTTAAATATTTATTAAAATAATATGATTATTTTTTATAGTTTAAGGGGTAGATGACTACCCCTTAAACAGAGGCAGGTGTACTTTAGCCATGGTAGAAAACTTGTAGTGTTAATACAGTGACTCAGTCGCATAGGGATGTGTTGATCCATTTGTTCAAGTGTGATAGACACAGTTGTGGACTATGTTCAAACAAGTTCAAACAAGCACCTTAAAACAGATAAGAGATTGAAAATTAATAAAAAATCTGTTCAGTGTAAATAATGTTTGAACAATTTGTTTTAGAAAAGGTAACTCAACTGGTGGAATTTGAAAACTTACCAGTTGAGATAATTTTAAAACCCGAATCTGGTGTATATTATTTAGACGCAGTGAAAAAAAAAACAAAACTGTAGTGTATTCAGCTAACATATTTTGAACAAACATCCTAAATCAAACCAAATAGTCACTACATTTTTATCAGTATAATAGGCTTGATATTTTTATTTATAAACTTCTTTCTGAGCACTTCTTTAACTGTATTGCGTACCTTTAGGTATTTTGTGTTTTTATTTTAATTAATTTTGAATTATGCATATAAACACAGAATCCCAAAATATATGAAACAAAAACTAATAATTAAAGAGAGAAATGGAAAATTGAACAGTAATTGTTAGAGACTTCAATACACCCACTTTCAATAACGAAAAAGAAAAAATAGGCAGAAGATCAACAAAGAAATATAAGACTTGAAAACACTATAAATCAACCAGCAATAAGTATGTATAGAACACTTCACTCAATAGAAGTAGAATACACATTCTTCTTAGGTGCCAAAGAACATTCTACAGCAAGGATTATATGCTAGGCCATAAAACAAGCTTCAATACATTTAAAAAATTTGAGATCATACAAAGTATATTTCCAAATGCAATGTAATTGAATTATAATTCAACAGCAGAAGGAAATTTAGAACATTTACAAACAGGTGAAAATTCATCAACACAAACTCCTAAATAACTAATGCTGAACAAAAAAATTACATGGGAAATCAGAAAACACTTGAAGTTGAATGAATTAGAAAATATTTTGAGATGAATGAAAATAAAAACACAACGTATCAAAATGTACTCAATGCAGCCAAAGAAGTTAGACCTTAAGGAATTAGAAAAAGATGAGAAAACTAAACTCAAAGCAAGCGTAAGAAAGGCGATAATACAGAGTGGTGGATATAAACTAGAGAATAGAAAAAAAATAAAGAATATCAATAAAACAAAGTAACATTGCTTAAAAATATCAACAAAATTGGCAAGCTCTAATTTTAAAATGTTTATGTTGAAAACAATCCCATCAGGAAAGTTAGAAGATAACCCACAGAATGCTAGTATTTCAAATCATACATCTGAAGAGATTTGTCTCCAGAATATCTAAAGACCACTTATAAGGCAATGGTAAGAAGACAAATAACCCAATTAATAACTGGGCAGAGAATCTGAAAAGACATTTCATTTCTCCAAAGAAGATATACAAATGGCCAATAAGTACAAGAAAAGATGCTCAAGATTATTTGTCATTAGGGAAATTAAAATCAAAACCACAATGAGATATCCTTTAAGTTCCATGAGAGAATGGTTATAATAAAAAAGACAGACAATAGCAAGAGGATGTAGAAAACTTAGAATCTTCATTCATTGCTGGCGAAATATAAAATAGTGAAGCCTCTTTGGAAAACAGTTTTGGCAGCTCCTCACAAATGTTAAACATAGAGTTACCATATGACCCAGCAATTTCATTCCTATGTATAGGCAATAGAAGCGAAAATATATGTCTATATATAAAGTTGTACATGAGTTGTCATGGCAGCATTATTCATAATAGCCAAAAAGCAGAAACAATTTAAATATCTATCATCTGTTGAATGGATAAAACGAATGTGATATATCCATACAATAGAAGAATAAAGAAGAACAAAGTATTCATACATCTTAAAGTATGGATGAATTTTGAAAACATTATATTAGGTTTAAGAATCTACTCACAAAGACAATATAATGTATGATAACATTTTTGGAAATGTCTAGAAAGCAAATTTATAGAGACAGAAAATTAGTAGCTGCCTAGACTTGAGTGTGAGTGGTGGGTAGCAATGGAGAATGACTGCTAATGCGTCCCAGAATTATTTCGGGGGTGATGTAAATGTTCTATAATTAAATTGTAGTAATGGTTGCCACAACTTTGTGAATACACTAAAAACCATTGGATTATACACTTTAAATGTGTGCATTTTAAGGTATGTAACTATACCTCAATTAAAACGTTAAAAAGTATACAAATCAATCCAACATTTTAGTATCATTCCTTAGAAAATTGTTTAATATAAATCATTCTGGAATTGAATTGCGTACTAGTTGATTAAAGATAGTGCAATTGCAATTAATTTATAAAATAAATACTGCAAAAATAGTATAGGTTTTGGATACCATTCTAATTATTTAGGAGTGTCCCCTTAATTCAGTTTCTGGACAGTGTTGTTTGTTATTTGTTTGATACCAGGAGTCCACAAATTCCCTGAACTTCAATGTGCACGTTAGATCCTATTTCAAATACCTTATGTAAGTCCTTCCATTTACTTTACTCACTGATAGCAACCTCCTCAATCCTCCTCCAAAAATAAGATAAGATTTCATATTTTAAAGCAAGCTAAAATTTTAAGATTACAAGCACAGTTTATCTCACTTCCCCTGTATTTTTAACAATGCGAATACCATACTTCTGGAAGCAACAGGGGCTCAAAAAAATCACAATGTGGACCATAAATCTCTAGAACGTATCATGTGGCTATTTCTTTTATTAATGTCTTTTGACAGGGAAACTGCCTCTCTTCTCAGTTGTTTAAACTATAGAGCCAGGCACTGTTCTAACTCTTTAAAGATTATCTTTACCGACTTTTTTTTTCCCAATACTTTCCTTTCATCGTTTTTTTCCACAAAACTTTAAAGTTTCTGCTGACTCCTCTGCCGCTCAGATAGTGTTTATTTTGGGACTTTAACATCCCTTGTTCCTTCTAAAAATGTTTCAGTCTCTTCCACCTTTCCTAGAATTTATGGTCTTAAAGTTATAATTTCAAATCTGCAGAGCTTGGAAATGTTGATTTTCAGTTGATTTTGTTAATATACAGTCATGTGCTGCATAACGACGTTTTGGTCAACGACAAGCCACATATGCAACAGTGGTCCCATAAGATTAGTACCATATAGCCTAGGTATGTGGCAGGGTTTATGTAAGTACTATAGGGGAGGAAGAAATTTTTCTCTGTCCTTCTAGATTCTTCTGTCTGGTTTAAGAATTAAATTGACATGAGACAGATTAATAGGAGAAAAACAAAAGTTTAATAACATGAACACATGGGAGAAACCCAGGAAAACCGAGTAACTCACCAAAATGGCCAAAGTTGTCACTTAAATACCATCCTCAACTAAAGACAAAAGAAGATGTTGAGGATAGGCAGAGTCAGGGACTTCAAAGGAAAGAAAGGCAGTTCACAGGTAGGTGAAAAGGAGCAAACGTTTGGAAAACAGGAGTTTGGCCACAGAAACAGAAGAACACAGAGGGGAGCCCAACAATCAGGCTAAGGTGATAGCTCACTTCTTGAGACAGATTTTCTATCTGAATTCTTTTAGGCAGTTAAGGAGGAGGTAACAAGAAAAACTTTGAGTCTTTTGTTTCTTAAAAATAATCAGCCTAAAATAATCTTCGTGTTAAAGAGACACATTTTGAGACGGCTAATTTTGTTCTCCTTCAGTATACTCTATGATGTTTGTACAATGATGAAATTGCCTAATGCCACGTCTCTCAGAACACATACCTGTTGTTAAGCAATGCCTGACCGTATATATATTTTTTAAGTTCAGCAAGCTTTGCTCATTACCAAGTCTTCTTTCTTCCTGGAAATTACAACCAGAAACAGGCACGACGTAGCTAAAGCTGAAATCTCCTGGGCACTGTGACATATAATTCTCAAAGATGACTACCATCAACTTTTCCATTCCTGTACGAAGATGCCACTTCTCCCATCAAGAGATCTTGTCTGTTTCCTCTGTCAAATTCTGAGTTTGCCTGGAGGTTTATTTTTATCAGCAGAATGTAGTGAAATTGGCACTGAGTTAGTTTCACGCCTTGCCCTAAAAAGGCCTGGCAGCTTTGCCTTTCAATCTCTTGGGGTACCATGTAAAAAGGTCAGGCTATTCTGTTGTAGAAACCACGTGGAGAAAAAAAAGAATTGCCTGGACAGCCCATAGCTGTTCCAGGCATGGCAGCTGAAGTACCTTTCATGTGAACTAAGGCATGTTGGATATTTCAGCTCTAGTCAAACTTCCAAATAAATGCACTGCATGAGTGACCCCAGCCAACCATCTGGAAGAATAATGAGCCCTGCCCATATTTCAGAATCATGGGCAAATAAATGGTTCTTATTTTTGCCACTAAGTTTTGAAGTGACTTGTTTAAGAACCATAGATAAGTAAAGCAGGCATGAAGAAAGAACCCACAAAAGAAGAAAATGTGGAAGAATGTGTATCACAGAAGAGAGCTACCATATTTAAAGTTTTACAAACTTAGAGAAGAACCTTTGCATTGATCTGACTTCAAAGATGATAAGCATATAAAAAGATGCTCTGTAGAAAATCGGTGAAGCTAAAGTGTAACAGACAAAAAGGTATGTTGATGTTTTCCACTAAAAGTTTGAGTCATAATAGTAAATACAAAAAATAAAATTAGGAAAACCAGTATAGATACAGTGGATTGCTATTAATCAATCATAATATGTTACAATAAACATTATTAATCCAGCAAAGAATTATAACAAAAAATTTATCTATAGATTTTAAATTTGATGATTGTCAGGGTATATAGCAATGACAGATGAGACAAGAGAGAACTTCTCCTTTATTATTTGCCTAGAAATGACAGAATGGCATTTAATTTTTTTTGACAACTGGAAATGTGTGTTCATCTTCATAATTTTCAACAATAAAAACTAACTATTTTGGATGGCAGTATTACTCATCTATTGCTGATAAAAAAAAAAACAGTCCCAACGTTTAGTGGCATAAATCAACACGCATTTATGATTTTACAGTTTCTATGGGTTATGAATCCCAGCATGGCCTAGTTGGGGGCCTCTGCTTCAAGATTCTTCATAAGGCTGTGGTCAAGGTACCAGCCAGGCTGGTTCTCAAAGGAAGGCTTGATGGGGGTCGGGGTAAGGGGTGGGATCTGCTCCCAAACTCACATAGTTGTTGGTGGGATTCAATCCCTTGTGAGCTGGTGAATTGAGGGCCTCAACTTGTGCCTGTTGTTGTGGCCTTTCTAGGTCAGCTTACAAGATAGCAAGTACCTTCTTCCTGAGCTAGTACATAAGAGAGCAAGAGTGGACATACAAAATGGAAGCCACAGTCTCCTAGTAACCTAATCTAAGATGTAACATTCCATCACTGCTGTCATTCCTATTTGTTAGAAGCAAGTCAATAATCCTAGACCCGACTGAAGGGGAGGACATTGCAAAAGAGCAGGAATACCAGGAGGTGGTGAGCACTGACACCAGCCTAGTGACTGCCTAACACAATGGTTCACAAAAGATGAATGAGGTCTCCTAATCACATCTCACTAAATTGTGTGACGTTTAGTTCAAGTTAGAGAACAAATTAAAAAATACTATTGCATAAAATTTATATTTATAAGAATGGGATGTTATCCTTCAACAATACAAGGTTTTATTTATCTTTTTTAGCTAATCTAAGTAAAGACTATCATTTACTCCTATATAGATATTTATATGTAACTCTATCATAATAACTACTTTCAAAATTGTATGTTTATATGAGTTGAGGTCAATAAATTAAAATTACAAAAGCATTCGAACAAGAAGAAAACCCTCCTGTTTTAAGAGTGATTCAACCCTTGATATTTATTACTTTTGATGGGACACGTACAGATGGTGGGAAAAAAATGAACTTCCTCTTGTATTTTGGCACTTCTGGTTGCAAAGAACAGAGACTCACTGAAGATATTTCAAGCATTGGGAAATTTAATTAAAAAATACTTATAAAAATGTTCATATTGTCAATGTACATGTGGGAAAGAGAAAAGTAGGGGTCCAGTGCAAAGCCATGAGAAAGAAACACACCAGGTCTCATGAGGAGAAGATTCTTTTTTAAAACTGGAAGGATTCATTATAGTTCCAGAAACTTCAACAGCAAGAAGTTTGAGGCCTCCCCGCTAATGCTCTGCCCATTAATGTCACACGTTGACCCTGGGTCTCTTCCATTCTCCAGTCCCTTATTCTCATTTTCTTTACTGTATAAATTTTCCCTACTTCATAACTTTGTCTAATTTCCCTCATGGTTTCTGCCTCTTCATAAATTCAACCTTTCTTCAGATGTAATTCTATCTCATGCCATCCTTTCATGCTCAGTTTCTACTGCCGACTGACTTGTTCTCCAGCTTCATATTGCATGTGAGAGAATTTGATTGGTTCTCTTCATCTTTTCAAACTAGGGCAAACTACAGGTGACTTCTGAGTCTATAGATTTGCTGACCTTGGGTAAGGTGCACAATGCAGATCCAAACATCTGTGACTTAAGATAGAAAGTGTGGTGCTACAAAACACGGCCTCTCGCAGAACCTCTTCCCACGAAGGGCCTGTAGGCACTTCAGGCAGTCTAGTTAGCAGAGTAAGTGTAGTCCATTACTAAAGTCTGTTACTCTCTTGCTAATTCAACTTGGGATCTGAAAATTAAAAGGAGGGGGTGAGACCTGAGATACTCCCCATTTACACATTTTTCCAGGTCCTATTAAGCTTAATTATATTTGAAAAGGAAGCATACCTCTTAATAGTGGGCATATTAGTTATCAGTTGTCTTCTAGCAGATACTGATAACATTTAAGACAGGCAATAGAGGGTGAACAAGGAGGAAGATAAGCATTAAGACAGAGACTCATGAAATGAGTAAATGATGAATGGCCTGTTTAATTATATATATATATATATATATATATATATATATATACATATATAATTAAAGCAAGTAAAGTGCTGGAGAACAACAATTAAGAATCAAACCACTATGTGAGGTGCAGAGGTAAACAACTCAGGTTGAACAGCCAAGCAATGGATGGTAAGATTGCTAAACTCCATAAATGTCATAGAGTAGGCAAAAGAGAATATCCACATGGGTAGAGTGAATTTAGTAGTGTAAAAGGAAGAAATGGGGTTCAACAGTTGGAAACCACCTAGTTGGTACAATACAGGGAGTTGGGTTATATGATAAGGATCTACATGCTGGGAGACTGGGATGCAAAGTAGGAATCCCACCAAGGTTAGTAAGAGCAGTAAGACTGAGCAGATGCTGAAATTGTTATTAAGGTGATTAGCTATCACCCAAAGCTCATTTCATTTCTACATACACAAAACCAGGGTTGTCTGGGCTGGATCTGATCCACTAGGGTCTTAACACCAATGTCAGTTCCAAATTAGAAGGATAGAGAAAAACCATTGGGATGTTCTGAAAATGTCCTGAAAAACTTGGTAGGCTCAGTCTCTTCCTCCCAGCCCAATTTAGTTCCCACAGTACTATTTTTAGCATTGGGACAAGGGGACAGGTTCATATCAGATTTAGAACAATTACATTGGACATGTGTGGAAAGCACAGGAGACTTTCTGCACTGTGCACATCTGAATTACTGGGAAAGCTGCTTAAAATCACAGCAAGTCTATTTGCATATTGCTGTCCAGTTGTCAGATGGTGTCTCAGTTCATAAATGTGAAACTCACAGCAGATTTTATTTTCATCAAGATGTTAGACTTACTTATTGAAACACAGCACATCATCAAGCATCTCTGAGTCTCTATTATCATATTTGTATGGTACGGGCATCAAATGTACATAGAGTGGGAGAGGAGACAGTGGACTTTCCACCTGAGGAAAGTCTTCAAAAGTGACACCTTTTCAACAACATTTTTTAAAGTGTAATACTTGACATAAGTATTGAGTTAAAAGAGAGATGAAAAATATTTTCAAGGAAGCAGGGCAAACCATCAGGAAAGTAGAGAATATAATAAAAAGTATTTCTTGAGAGCTTTCTCTCTTACCAACTGACTGTCTAGGTTCTATTTACTGTTCTGCTTCCATATCACTCTCACCCCACCTTTGCTCCCAAGATGTCAGAACATGGCGTTGTCTCTAGTCAACCAACTGTTAAGGGTATAGCCCCAGAATTCATGGAATTTATAGTCTAGTTAGCAATATAAACATTCGAACAAATATAATCATTTGAGAGTAAAACATTCACACAGTTGACCAGTGATATGAGAGAGGTATAAATTACTATGTGAATGCTAACGGAGATATCAATTCTCAATAAAAGGACAGAGGAAGAACATATGGAGAAGACAACACTGAATAGGACTTGGGGAAATTAATAGAATTTTTCTAAGCCAGCTTATAGGTGGAAAACTTTTAGCTGATGAGAATATTATGAGAAAAGTTACAGAGTTTGGGAAAGTGCAGGGCCTGTGATGAAGTAAGGATCAATGTGATATAACTGGAACAAAAGGTGTGGGGAAGGATGGCGATATCAGCAGATAAGCCTAGAAAAACAGACTGGGCAGACTAGGGAGGGCTTTGATTGCCATGCTAAGAAATAAGATGCCAGCGAAGATATTTTACTAAAGTATTAATATGTCTGGAGGTGTGCCTTAGAAATACTACATAGAAACTCTATGGAGTGTGTATGTGCATAGCAGCACTACTCAATATTAAGGTAGTCTGCAGCAATGCTGTGATGTATTCATGTAAGGCTCGTCATAAAATTACACACAAACATAGCTACAACATCAAGTACGTGTGTATTTAATATAAGTGTTATATACATATATATTTCTTGTACTTATAGATGAGAGTAATATTTTAGTCAAAATTATTTTTAATTTTATAATAATGTGTCACATTATATTGTATTTCTGCTCAAAAGAGAACATTTTAATTTCATTTCATTCTCATACGTGGGGAACTTAAATAGTGCAATACCAACCTGGGCCATATTAGAACTACTGGCTTAGAAATGAACATTGGCCAAAAGTTGTTACAAACGGATAGCTGTTTAGTGATGTGTGGGAAATGAGTTGATGGTCACAGTCCAGTTCCTACTTAACAGGTGTCTGCCTCATAAAAACCACCATCATAATCAGCACTTATTGGCACCCTTATCACCAGTGTGAGGAGAGAAGCCAAGATCTAAGATTGCTTTCTCTTCTGTCTTCAGGACTGCGTGGGAGCTTCCGTTCAGCCTTTTATAATAGTTCTATGTTTTCCTTCTAACATTATTAATTTCTAAAATGAATTTAGTGCCTAAGAAGCCATCTCTAGGGACTGTCACCGACTTCATAAACAGAGAGTAAATTCATTTTAGAAAACAATATTGTTGGAAGGAAAACATGGAGTCATTATCAAAGGTTGTTTATAATGAGAACATTTGAAGAGGTACCATTTCAAATAAGCAGTTTTAAAGACAGACATATGTTCCCACCACAGGGACCTGTCTTACTGCTTGAACATCAGAAGAAAATTCATTACTTAACATCATTAAAGGATCACACTCAAACTTAATCATGATTTACAGGGTGAAATCCACAGCTTTACTCCGTGTTGTTTGATTGTAATATTGGATGCTACTCAATGGAAGGAGAATTTGTTTTGCCATGCTTGCTAACATGTCATCTTCCATATTTTCTGCTTTAACCATGAAATCTAGTTACATAGAAATAAGAAATATTCAGACCAATTCATTTGCAACAGAAATATTTAAAACCTTCACTTACTGGATAAACTAGTCTCAACATTCATCTTTTGCACAAAGCTGCATTTATAGATTTAAAAATATTTTATAAACATTCCGCTGTGCAGTATTTATACTTGACTGCTCTCACTTTGAAAAGATATTTACTGTGGTGATAATAGGAAACAATTAGCTCCATTTATATGACTTAGCACAATGTTTCAATGACAGTTGTTTTAGAGTATTTCTTGAGGAGTGAAGGGGCAATGGACTTGAATGCATTCCAATAATTATTATACTACATTTTCATAGGCTTTTCAATTCATAAGACAGAAAGAGCAAATTGCCTGCATAACAAGAAAAATGCATTTAAAGTGCATTTATATTCATTACATAGAAAATTAAAATAAAAGAACAATTCACAAACATCTATATTTATAACGGGTCTTATTCCAGATAGAAGAGTCATACAAAAAGAATAAATATGAGAACTTTCAGGATAGAACTAAAACTATAAATCATTCATATTTTCCCCAATAACTTCTTAATTTGTAGAATTAAGACCTTTGTTTATTGAAAACTTTCAACAAGAAATGTTTAAAATATTCAATAAAAATGAAATGGTAAAGTATTTTGAATATGAAATGTGAAATGTACACGTTTGTTGATTGCACTATCTTTTTAAATGCAGAAACACATAATTGTTTTCCATAATGCTTTCATTCATTTTATATTGTTTTGTATGCTTTAT